TACTTGCTATGAGATTTGGGTTAAGACTAAGTCACTTTATACGAATGACATTCAACGTCTCTTTATCGTGGTAACCAATATGGTTAGTTTAAAGCAAGATGATGATATGTCTGACTTTGTTGGAAAGCTTCAATCTATCAAATAGGAGTTAGATTCTCTCTTGACTATACAGGATACTGCTGACCAGTCGACACAGATAGATAAGTTAATCATGGTACTTGGTTTGACTGCTCTTCGTCCTAAGCTTGCTTCTGTCTGAGATCAAATCCTTGCTGGTTCAGTGGTTCCCTTTTTAGATGATCTCAGTGCTCGGTTACTTCGCATAACTTCTACCAATCCATTGTCTGCACATCCTTCGATTGAGCCTATCGGATTAGCCTCTCAAACTCATCCTAGGGGGGAACAAATAGGTGGCAGGGGTATTGGTAATGCTCGGAATAATCGTCCTAAGTGTAGTTACTGTCTGAAGTTGGGACATGCTAGGGATAAATGCTACAAGTTACATGGACGACCACCACGCATTGCCAATGTTGCTCAAATTGATCATTATGATTCTAAATCTACTTCAGAGGAACAATCAACATTTATTGTTATAAAAGCATCAGAATATGAGGATTATCTCCGTTATAAAGCCATTCAACAACCTTCTACTTCCATTGCTCATATTGGTAATTCTGTTGCTTGTCTTACCCAGTCATCTGGACTTGGATCATGGGTTCTTGATTCTGGCGCCTTTGATCACATCTCTGATAATCAACATCTTTTCTCTCATCTTACTTGCTCTACTTCCTTTCCATATGTGACCCTAGCTAATGGTACCAAAACTATGGCCAAAGGCATTGGACAAGCTCCACTTTTTCCTTCATTAAAGTTAGATTCTGTTCTGTATGTTCCTAGTTGTCCTTTTAACCTTATTTCAATTAGTAAGTTGACACGTGCTCTGAATTGTTTAGTAACCTTTTTGAATGATTATGTTATTGTACAGGACCGTGGCACGGGACAGATGATTGGCGCAGGGCGTGAGTGTCAAGGACTTTATCACATTGATCTACTTTCTTCCTCAGTTGCCTGCATGTCTACCGAATCTGCCACTCTTATTCATAATCAATTGGGACATCCAAGTTTTTCAAAATTACAGAAGATGGTTCCGAGTCTTTCATATTTGTCATCTTTAGAGTGTGAGTCGTGTCAACTTGGTAAACAATCATGTGTTTCATTTCCCAAGCGAGTCAATAATAGGGCTATGTCTCCTTTTGAGTTAGTTCATTCAAATATTTGGGGTCCGAGTCGTATTCTCTTTGTCCTAGGTTTTAAGTAATTTGTCACATTTATCGATGATTATTCTCGATGTACTTGGTTGTATTTATTGAAAAATCGTTTTGAAATGTTTTCTGTATTCAAAGAATTTTGTGCTGAAATAAAAACTCAATTCAATGTTTCAATTCGTGTTTTGCGCAGTGATAACGCTCGTGAATATTTTTCTTCTTCTTTTATTGACTTCATGGCCTCTCAGGGTATTCTTCATCAATCTTCTTGTGCTCATACACCACAACAAAATGGTGTAGCTGAACACAAGAATCGCCATCTCATTGAAACAGCTTGTACTCTCTTGCTCCATCATAATGTTCCCTTTCGTTTTTGGGCCGACGCTGTTCTTACAGCCTGCTATCTAATTAACCGCATGCCCTCTTCAGTTTTATAGCACCAAATTCACTTCTCCATTCTCTTTCCAAATCAATCTATGTATCTTCTATCTCCTTGTGTCTTTGGCTGTGTGTGTTTTGTTCATAACTTAGCTCCTGGACAGGATAAACTTTCTGCTCGGTCCACCAAATGTGTTTTCTTAGGGTATTCTCGAGTCCAAAAAGGGTATCGATGTTACTCTCCTACTACCCAACGCTTTTACATTTCTACTGATGTCACCTTCGTTGAGTCCTCTCCATACTTTACTACTGTGTCAGATCCGGATTCTATTTCTCACATTTTTCCCATTCCATATTTAGGTCCTCCTCTTCATGTTGCTCAAAAACCTCCACCTCCAGTTTGTCCTTTACAAGTCTATAGTTGTCGACCTCATCCTCCCTTTACCGATATTGAACAGGTTTCATTGGACTCCCCTGCTACGCCAACATCTCCTCGTACCACAGACTAGGTTACAGCCGCTTCTCCACCACTAGCTCTTCGGAAAGGTGTTCGTTCCACCAAGAATCCCTATCCTTTTTATACTTCTCTCAGTTATCATCGTCTGTCCCCTTCCTATTATTCCCTTATTTCCACCTTATCATCTGTGTCTGTTCCTCGGACTACTATTGAGGCACTTTCTGATCCTGGATGGCGACAAGCTATGATTGATGAGATGACTGCTTTACATTGTAATGGTACTTGGGATCTAGTACCTCTTCCTTCTGGAAAATCTACTGTTGGATGTCGATGGGTATATATTATCATGGTTGGCCCGGATGGACAGGTTGCTAAAGGATACACACAAGTTTATGGCTTAGATTATTGTGACACCTTCTCTTCTGTGGCCAAGATCGCCTCCGTACGGTTATTTCTCTCTCTTGCTGCTATAAATCACTGGCCTCTTTATCAGTTGGACATTAAAAATGCTTTTCTTCATAGTGAGTTACTGGAAGAGGTTTACATGGAGCAACTGCCTGGCTTTGTTGCTCAGGGGGAGTCTGGTTTGGTTTGTCGACTTCAACGCTCGCTTTATGGTTTAAAACAGTCTCCAAGGGCCTGGTTTAGTTGCTTTAGTATAGTCATTTAAGAGTTTGGCATGATTCGAAGTGAAGCTGATCATTTGGTTTTCTATGGTCATGGATCCCATAGTACATGTATCTTTCTTGTTGTTTATGTTGATGATATTGTCATCACTGGGAATGATCAAGAGGGTATTCAGCAGCTCAAACAACACCTTTTTACTCATTTTCAGACCAAAGATTTGGGTCGACTTAAATACTTTCTCGGGATAGAGGTGGCTCAATCCAATTCAGGTGTTGTTATTTCCCAACGTATACTTGACGAAATTGGTATGTTGGACTGTAAACCTGTTGATACTCCTATGGATCCAAATGTCAAACTCTTTTCTGGACAGGGGGAGGCTCTTGCAGATCTTGAAAGATATCGGAGATTAGTGGGAAAACTTAATTACTTAACTATCACTCGACCAGATCTTTCATTTGCTGTTAGTACAGTAAGTCAATTCCTATAATCTCCATGTGACAGTCATTGGAATGCTGTGATTCGTATTCTCAGGTATATTAAAGGAACACCAGGTCAAGGATTATTGTATGAAGATAAAGGACACATTCAGGTAATTGGATATTCTGATGCAGATTGGGCTGGTTCTCCTTCAGACAAACGATCTACTTCGGGATATTGTGTTTTGATTGGAGGTAATTTGATTTCTTGAAAAAGTAAGAAATAGGATGTTCTTGTGAGGTCAAGTGCTGAAACTGAATATCGTGCTATGGCCTTGACAACTTGTGAACTAATTTGGTTAAAATAGTTGCTTCAAGAATTGAAGTTTGGAGAGGTTGGACAAATGAAGTTAATCTGTGATAATCAAGCTGCCTTACATATTGCCTCTAACCCTGCGTTTCATGAAAGGACCAAATACATAGAAGTTGATTGTCATTTCATTAGAGAGAAGATTTTGTCTGGATACATTTCCACTACTTTTGTCAATTCTGCTGATCAGCTAGCAGATATTTTTACTAAATCTCTCAGAGGTCCTCGGATTACTTCTCTTTGTAACAAGCTTGGTGCATATGACTTATATGCTCTAGCTTGAGGGGGAGTGTTGGAATAGTCTTATGTTAAGTTAGTATTAGTATCCCACATCGAATAATGTGGACATTTGTTTTTGCTATGAAGTGTATATAGACATGTACTACCAAGATGATTAATCATATAGTTATTTTTCTCCCTTCTATATTCACAAGAAAAAAAGGGAGAAAAGGAAGCCATGAGAAAACTGACCCAAAGAGTAAAAGGCAGGATAGGAATAATTCTCTAATTTGGAGCATCCATATGGGCAACTCCCTACCACAACAAAATTTCAAATCCCATGCTTGTGATACACGAACTCAATTTGGTTGAGCTTCCAAGTGTTTTGAATTTGATCCCATGTATTTTATTCTTACTTATGATTAAAGATTGCTCTAATTAATCTTCTTTAGCTAATTCAACATCGAAGTGGTGCTAAGGTTCCAAAGTTCACCTTTCGTGTTGCAGTTCTTCTAGTATGCTGAGTTTTCCCTCAATTGTTTGCAGATCATCACTATTCCCTTTAGGTCTGTTTCGCTTTCATCATAAATTACGTGTACACATGGATTTGTTCTACATGTCTTGTACTTGTAATAGATATGATGTCTCATTTTCTGTGTCTCAATGCTATGCCTAAGAACGAAGCTTTGTTATATTCTTTGCTTTCTTTCTAGCTTGTGTGTATGTGCATTTGTTGCATGGCTAGCAATCAAAATTTGGAGCCTTTTTTGTGTTTTGCATGATACAAAGTTGTTGAGCAATAAGTTAATGGGGATTTTGATTATTGATTATGTTTTATTTTACTACACTTATCAATGATTTTATTTAGTGTACTATCTTCTGATCATGACAGTTTGGTTAGCCTGATTCATTAACTGTTCAAAGTTGTTTGAAACAAAACATAGTTTCTTGAGGAAAACATCAATCTGAGAAGAGCGACACCAACTTAGAAACAATTTTCAAGTAAGTTATACTAAGCTGTAGTCTTTATGATTACACGAGATTATAATTAACTGATAGTATCTGCTATCAGAACTATTTGATATTCATTTCTCGCAATGGTTTTGTCTGTGATTATTAATGTGCTTGTACATATCTCATTTATACTTTTATTGGTGTTAAGGAAAGGATAAAATTCAGCTCCTGTCTTCACGTATAACGTGCAAAAGAACTGATTCCTTTGCTTTGGTGAGCCAAATTGGAGGAGGCAAGGTTTCTTTCTATGTGAAATGTCGCAATATTATAACATTGATGATATCTTAGCAGAAGAAGAGGTTTTATGTTTTTTCTTCCTATCTTGATTGTGTTAATTTGATTGCTTTTTACCTTTCAGCTTATAATATTTACTTCCTATTTGTTTGCTCACAGCTTGTCCCTGCTGTATTTCAAGTGGCTGCAAATGTTCGGCTGTTTGATTCTAGTGATGATTCAAATAAGGTTAGCATAACACAATAAATGAAAAATTCTTGTGATGACTCCAGCTGACGGTTTTTTTTCTTTGTCTCAGGTAGAACCAGGTTCAAAGGTGGAGCTGCCTTTTTGGCTTGCTTGTGAATTACACTTGAGACAAGCAGTGTCCATTAATCTTCCCACTTGTTTCAATCAAAAGTAAGTCTTTTCATAGCTCTTGTTGATGCACCTGTACTCAACTTAAAGAAGCAATAAATGATCTTTAATTGGTTAGGTTACAGGATATGCCCCATTATGTGCACACTGAAGTTAGAGACTATAGAGTACCCATTCAACTATAGTAGAATTCCTAATAGGCTAATATCTTGTGGCTTGCAATCTCAGAACAAGGGAGGAACTTGCTGCTGATGCTGCGCATGTGAATCTAAAGAATCGATGCCCGTACTTCTATGAGCTAGGGCAGAAGTTACTCTCATTGTAAGATTTTTAGCCTCTTTAATCCGTGCACTCAACTCAAATTGATGAGGCCTATCTTTGGTTCATGTGAATTAAATTTTAATTAAGATTTTTTAAATCTGTATGCTGTCCTCCGGGGTAAGCCTAAATCAGAAGAGCTTCTGTTCCGTTTGGGATTAGAACTCTATAAGCAAATGTATGTGTTCATACAAATGCTATTTTGGCTGAGTACCATTATGAGGTTATGAATCATGTACCAGATTGATGTTACAGCCTTTCATCTGCTTGATAATTTCTTGGTGTTTTTTCTGTACTCATTTCCACTACTTGATTTTTTTTTTTTTTTGTCTGCAATTAGAACTTATTAGCCAACCTTTTAACCTGCAATTCTTTAATGACCATGATTACCATCCAAAAGCCAATGTTTACAACCCAAACTCTTAAAAACATTGCTAATCTTTATGTGCTGCTGTTAATAGCTCCAAATTTTGGCTTGTTTTGCCTTATCATAACCCCTCAAGCCATGCTTCTCCTGGATTTTGACATTCCTTTTACCTTTTTTATTTATATTTTTTATGTTATGGGTTTACCCCCATCTTCAACAACTCAGCTAAATGTAATCAGCCTTTAAGGAGGCAGCCCCAGATCCTTGCCTCTTTACCTGCTTTTAAAGTTCTAGTTCCAAAGATGTTCTTGCACAGAGTTGAAGTTTGAATTCTTGAAAAACTTATTTGGGCCAAAAAATAGCTTTTCTCAATGAGCTTGAAAGCTAACGTGTTAGTGAGTCATCTCGGTACTTGTTCTACGGAGAACTTAAGTGTCAAATACCAATATCAAACAAGCAAATGTAACCGGTTGAAAAAGTTCTCTGTTTTTGCCACTATCGATGAATAAACCTACCTTAATAAAAAGCATAAATGCATGCAGAAGATTGAAAATATTCAATGGAGAGTGGACTTATAATGAAAGTCTGCAGAAGTTGGGAAAATTATGCTTGTTTAAGATATGCTATGCTATCTAGTAAAGAGAGTTGTCTTGGAGTTTTGGCTTGGGAATTTCTTTGTTCATCCACACCCAATTGAGGCCTTCCCAATTGGTTGTTTGGATAAACCTTAGGACCTTCATTCTACTTACCAGCATTCATAATATCATTGTTGCAGTAGTAGTGCTCAGTTCCTCATAGAGTCTTAATTACAAGATTAGTTATTTATGTTTTTATTATCTTTATTTTTTAGTGTGGAATTTGCTATCTGGTTAACCAGCTAGCCATGCCTTGAAAGTTAATGCCAATAAGGTTATTCTTAATTTTGAGTCAATGTGATAAACAGAGTTGGTGATAGGACCATTGGGCCCTTGCTCTTAGCTACATTTCAGAAGAGGTACAAGGAAGTGCTGATCAAAGCGCAGACTGTAGCATTGGCTGTGGCTCCAAAATTCTTGACACTTCTAACAAGAGAAGAAATCAAATGTAAGACTTGATTAAGAGGTTTGACTTTGTGTTGTCACCAATCCTTAGCTTCATCATTTCAAGTGAACACTAATGTTATGTTTTTCTTCTTTGAAGTGTATGAGGTTGCCCAGTCTTCAATGGCTGCATTTAAGAAGTGGCGGGTGGGTGGACCGAGGTTCCAGAAAGCATATGTTATTGGGAAAAAGAGGAAACCATTGGATTAGTTGCTATATCTAATTATTTATATTGAGCTTGTGTGCTCTTTAGAAACATGTATTTGCTCTGATCTTGTCTTTGGCATATGGCTAGGATCTAATTCTGTTTCTTGTATTAGTAAGAATTAACTCACAACAGAAACAATTATATAGAAAATTTAAATTATATATCTATTCTTTCTATATTTTTTATGCTAGATGTACATAAGCACAACTACAGACATATGTCAGGGGTTGGTTTTTATAGGTGTTGGATATTCTTCTAGAAGCAGGTGATGTTCACTGAAATCAACGATATTCATTGGAAGTAAGGATCAGGTTTGTATGTTCCATGCCTAGATGATTGTCTATGCAAATCTGGACCCTGTATTTTGAGAAGTAGCTGAAGATTATGGGGAGCTCTTATATCTGCCGTAGTTGCAGTAGTTTGTGTTGAGACAGGGAAAGGAGGAGCTGATCCTTGATTTAACTCAGCAATTCCTTATACAAGCATAGGACAAATGAAATATTATTTGAACAAAAACACTAAATGTGACAACCAGGCTTGCTTACATCTACCACCAAATGATTTAAGATGATTGCTAAAATAAACTCATCTTGAAAATAATGAATGGTTCCTGTTGAATTTGACACTCATGGAAAACTTATGCAGTCCGGAGTGGTTATTTATGCTTTAAGAGTTGGACGGGAATAATAGGCATCATACTGCGTATGCATTGAATAGAACGCTAGTTCTTCTACTTCACTTTTATCACCAGTTCAGTAAGGTTTTGAAGGTTTTCACGAGTGCATTTAAATATCATTTTTGTGTTTACTGTGATAGCTGGATTTATTTGGAGCTACTTAGCCTTTTATTTTGTTGTTAAGCATGTTTCAGAATCAATTTTTCGTTACTGTGATTTTTTTGTTTGAGACAATGATCTTGTGCCCACTGTGAAACCAGAGATTCTTCTTTTTGATGGTGATCGCCCTATTAAGAGGACACTTGAAGTGCTTGGCAGAAAACAATGTTATGCTTGAGGGTATTCTGTTTAAGCCTAGCATGGTAACTCTGGTGCTGAGCACAAGGAAGAAGCTTCTCCAAAGACCATTGCCAAATACACAACCTGATTAAGAGGAGAGGACCTCCTGCTGTCCCAGGAATCATGGTACAGATGCTTGAACCCATTTATGATGAATTTTTATGATTCATTGTATGATGGAAGAATTGACTTCTCTGAGTGTTACTTCCGGTAGTTCTTGTGCCTTCTACCGGTCAGCCTAGAACTTTTTTTTTTTGAGGGGGGGGGGGGGTGGGGGCTAAAATTGCTGCTGATGACTTTTAAAACTAAATCTCATGGGGGAGTCAAAATTGTATTTTTCCATGGTTGATGAGGTGATAAAGCAATCAACATGTTCTCTTTGGTTCTTATGGCTGCTGATAAATGCTATTTAGGATAGCAGGGATTTCATCCTTTTGCTGGAGGTCAAAAGGAGACATGCTTTGCAGCATCATGGCCTAAATCGAAACTGTTTTTCCCCCCCTACTTGTCGTTATAGGAGCTGTATGGTTCTTCTGCTATTTAAGCATTTTCTCAACTCTTTGAGTGATGAATGATAAAGTTAATGAATTGTTAACAAATTTGATACACTTTAAAAATAGTGAACATAATAGAATTGTTAAAATCAATAAAATAATAAAATAGAATACTTATTACAATATAATAGGGAAGGATTTTAAAATTAATATTTTTATAAAATAGAGAATAGTCTGATTACACAAAAATATAGGCCATTTGTTATTCTTATATAGTATGTAAAAAATAATGTTAACTGATATTAAATATGTTATAGTTTAATGATTCATTTTATTTATCTTGTGAAAATGTCAATTATCAATTTTAAAAAATAATTCGAGTAAAATAATTTGTGTCAAACTATTGTCAGAATTTTCTAAAAATAGTAGAATTTATGAAGTGATAATTCTAATTATAGATGAACACAATATCTTCAATTATATAAATTCCTAAAGTTAATAAATTAATTATTTACATTAACAATAACACATTTTAATTCATTTATTGCATTATTAAAATAAAAAAAATTATTATAATATAAATAAAGTTACTTGAATAAGTTATTTGTTACATGCTATAAAAACAAAAATATAAATTATTAAGATGGAGATAAAATTGTTCAAAATTTACACTTTTGCATGTTGTATAAGTTTTTATCACCAATAACTTATTTATGTTAGATAATCTCAAGAAAATTGAAAAAAGAAGTAGAAGTCTTTCCTTCCAAATTCACATGTTTAAAGAAGATCGAAAGAGAACCTTTTATAGGCCCATTGGAAGTGTTCCAAAGTTATACCCACATAAATGCTTTAATTTTTCAATATTTGGATATATTTAGAGAAAACAGAATTTCTCTTTCCTTACAATATAGCAAGAACAAAATTACTAAAACCAAAGATGCAAAAAAGAATAAATGGCAATCACATACTAAAACTTCAATCATTCAAATAAAGAAAGAAGTTATAAAACATTGTTTTTTCCATTTAGTACAAGAGATCACTGAAATATTGGACAGGATGCAAAACGTTAAAGATGTATGAGGGCAATGTCGTCATATCCAAACCCATGTCGTCAGACCTAGTGCAGTCTAACCTTCTTTTGGGCTTTGGCCCCGGTTATTTAAAAAAAAAAAAAGAAAAAACCCACCATAACAGGACACAACTAACTCGAAAGCAAAAAGCAAACAAACAAAAGCAAATTCATTTAACAAACAATCAAAAACCAAAAAGGGAGTGATACTCATTTAGAAGAACTCTGGTATATTATGAAGCCTGGAAGTGAGTAGTACTAGTTCATGAAATTGATTTGTATTCCAAAACAATCCTTCCTAGATAGAAACAGCAAGTTATCGGCAGAGCAGGCTTACGGCCTTATCTTGTTCTCCCTTTTCCTCTCAGCCAGAGAAGCCCAGAGATGCAAATAATCTTTATTAGCATTCCTTGATCAATGTAACAGATGGCATGTGTAATGTCATTTTTAAACCCTGAAAACAAAAGATAATGATGATTTCACCCACAAATATTTGTCTTGAATCAACATTATATGATATTAAGCTTCTAGTAAATATTGTTAACATCATTAAAAAAAATGCACGAAAAATAAAACTTCCAAGCAATATAGAGCAACCTCAAATTCTCAAAATGGCAATATATATGGAACTACTCATCAATATCCATTAATCAAACCAAAGCACTCCTTCCAAAAGCAACCTGAGTTTCTCAAATCCTGGTTTGCATGCCAAAAAGCAGTTGAAGCCTGGGATGATCAATCTTGGACATCCAATCCAATGCCCTTCAGTGATTTTGAATGTCCAATTATTGGTCGTCAACGAGATTAATGGAAACCACGTTCCCATTTATACCCACGTGAATGGGACGACTGCACTCACACAATCCCAGCCAACTGATCTTGTGCCAAGATATGCCCCTTTAGGTTGATCCCAGATTAATAGCAATGCTACTCCGACTTGTATAGGAAATGTGTTGCAAAATGGCTAAGATGGAAAGTTTGGCAAGCAGTAAAAAGTCTACCAAGTACAGAAATAGTGGAACCGTGTTTGATGTCATGCAATGATGGTCATATTATAGCACGCGCAAATTAAATGTTTGAGCGGAAAACCGAGAATTCTACTTCACTCATGCAATCTAGGCTCACAAAAATAAAATTATAGGTTAAAATTTTGTCAAATGCCTAGTAGTGTGAACTGATTCAACTCGATATTTTAGTTTCTGGAGAAGTTCATCTAAGCATGACTTTTTTATTTTATTTTATGTGGGAACGTGGGTCCCTAAATTTTCCATCTCTATGGCGTGGAAAACAGCTTGAGTTGCTTTCATGTTGCTACCATGCTAAACTGACCATCTCAGTTCAATTTGGGTTAAAGGTTTCATGACCCGCGCATGTTAAACCCCTCAAATCAATGCCAAGACACCAAACTTCCCTTTAACGCATGAAAACCCTAGGTGCTATTGACACGGATTGCAAATCGAGAAGTTACTGGATAATTCTAGAACTCTGGTATTTAATACAAGTAGTTGGTAGCTGATTATTGTATTTATTATAATTAGTTGGTATATATAGACTGAAAATATCATTTATTATAAGGAGTTGGCTTATGCTTAAATAAAAGGTATGTCCCTTCGTTGTAAACACAACATTTTCTCTCTACTTTCTCTTTCTAATTGTCATGAGTGTGAGTGAAGTTTGTGTTTGTAACGCTAGAAGAATGGACTCGTGACAACTACCTTGTTATCTTGTTCCTCTCTGTTTTCGTCCTAACTCTCTCCTCTTGACTCTAAATAAGCAGGCCTCCTCTAGATCTAAAGAAGAGATAAATCTTTGTCATCTCTCAAATTTGGAAAAGCAATACATTTCCTCTGCAATCCGTTGCTATTTAGGGAAAAAGTCATTGGTACTAAAAAAGCAACAAGAAAATTATTAGTAATTAGGCAATCAGTAATTATATACGTACAGAGATTTAAAACATATAAAACAAACTCCCTTGTGAGTAGAGAATATATTATTTAAAATAACGATTACAAAGAAAACAAACACATATGAGCAAAAAAATTCTTACTGTAAAAGACATCTCAAAAGAAACATGTCAATTTGAATTAATTAAATCAAAACATAAATTAATTCAAACCACACTATCTCAATTACTTAATATCAATTTTGCAAATGACCCACCACGATGGTATACATTTACTCAACTGACAAAATTACAAGGCAAGGACAAACAATTGTCTAAACTAATATTCTTTCGTTAATTTTTATAATTTTCCCCAACATACCATAAGAATATAAGAGCATTCTAAAACAATTGTTGACCTTTGGTGCTTTTCAAGGTAATAATATGCATACCGATACATTAGAATGTAAATCAAGGTAGTAACATGCATACATGATTATTAGCATGCAAATTGAGGCAATAATATGTATTTATGATCATTA